TAGAGTGGATGATTATATAATTAACATGTATCTATGAGAACTTAACAGCTTTCAGGTTTTAGGCAGGAGCATTCATTCTGTCCAACACCTCTAAAATATTCAAATCCTTTTTAAAAAATTGCCCATCCCTCATATTTCCTTCTCATTCACTGAGGACTCATTTCTTTGATTCCCCTAACCCTGTGCAACTGATTTTGCCTCAATTTGAGAAGCATTCTGCTTGGAAAGGCAAAACCTCAAGGGCAGCACCAACTCTACCATTCAATATCATACTACCTTCCCAAGTGGAGGTACATATAAAATTAATGTAGGCATCAAGAATGTAGGAGCCCCTTGTCTTGGTATGTGACCCAGGTCAGGGCAATCAGGGTTTTCTAACAAGTGGCCACAACATTTAGTTCACAGACAGACATTGCTTGAGATGAGCCAATAAAAAGCCTAGTTAGTTCATAGTAAAATAAGCAAAGAAGGGGAGCCCTCTTTCCTTGGATTGTTTAGATACCATAAAAAAGTCCTGAGATGCTGGTGACAGTATTGTTGTTTTACAAAGAAATCATATTAAAATGGTAGCACTACTGAACGGATGGAGAGTGTGAATCATTGTCTATACAACAAATACCTAATGAGCTGGACTTTAACTGCCACTGCTGAGAAACTACAGACAGAAGAATGGATAAAGCAAGAAGAACCTCTGTCCTGAAGGAGCTGACATTCCAGGAAAGCAGGCAGTAAAATAAATTATATAAGATGAGGTTTGTGTGGACTCATGTACAAAGAATGAAAAGAGGCAAGAAATATTAGGGTATAACAGGCTACAATTTAAAATATGGATCAGCTAGCTCTGAGATTATACTCAAATGCAGACATCAGAGATACAGGGAGAATGTCATGAGGATATCTTGAGAAAGAGTTTTCTAGTAGAACAGACAGCAAACGATGAAGTTCTGAAGTGATTGTGGAACGAGCAAGGTGGAAAATGATAAGAAATGAGTTGAAACAGGAAGTGTATTGGCTGTGTTGGTACTTGACAGACTTAGACTTCATATGCTGTGGACAGAAAGCAGCTAGAAGGTTCTCAGGAGTGATGTAACATCATTAGTATCATTCTAGTTTAAGGCAGCCAACAGCAGAGCAGACAGGACAGTGAGGAGCCACCGCCTGAGCAGTGGGAGAGAAGGATGAACCGGCACTAGATGCAGTAAAAACTGACAGATTCTTGATACAGTTAGGAGATTCTGATCAGATATAGGGTATGAGGGAAAGATAAGGCTTGGGTGACAGTGAGATTTCTGCCCCAAGGAACTGAAATAACAAGCTAAATTTGCTGAAAAGGAGGATACATAGAAGAAGCAGGCTTGAAATGTGTTGAGAGACATGACTAAGAACTGTGTTTAGAAAAATACTGTTTCAGTTCTCACTATGTACTTCTTGAAAATATCCATTGAGAGCCTGGATACACCCATATGGAGAGCCAGAGTTACCACTTGAAGTTTTACTCACACAGAACAGATTTTTTTTTCTGGTCCTATGGATTCTTTCTTAAAAACCCTGGACTTAACTGTTCTCAATATGTTTTCTTTTAGAAATCCACACATTTCATCATTTTTTAACCATCTGCAAATGTTCCTCATCAGTTTCATTAGAAGGATGATGGTATTAACAGTTATCTCTTTTGAGTTGCATGTGGCAAAAAATCATCTTTGATTATTTAAAGAGGCCAATTATTGTTAGTTTAAAATGTCTTTAAAATCTTAAGTATTTGGATATCAAAAATTAAGTGTTTAATGGAAGCTATAGTACTTAGCTTGAGAATCCTTGTGTTATTTTTACACTAATCAGGGATATCTCCTACACTGTTTATAGATATAAAGCCTTGCATATGGAATACCATGATTATTAGTACATGAAAAAAACACTAGCAGCAAGATGGAAGAAGGCTGAAATAAGTGTTTGGAATTCACAATACGTAATCAAGAGGAAGAACATTTGATTAATTATAGTACTTCAGGCTGGCTTGCTTCTTTAGGTTTTATTCATCCATTCAATTATATGTTCAGCATTTAATGAGTGGCTGCCATGTCCTGGACTTGCACTGGGCATTGGGCCAGAGTGAGTAAGACACAGAAAGATTCTCTGACTCTAAAGTTCACAAATCAAAGAGGAAGACTGATAGGAAAGAGTAATCTTAGTTCTTCATGCCTAAAACATATGGGTAGCTCTCTTCAAATTGATATTTACAAGAATCTTAAACAGAATTTAAAGCTCAATTATAGCCCAAGTTATCAAGACTAACAAAGCTATCAGTAATAATACCATAAAAGCTTTAGAAGCTTCCATCTTACTTGCATTTGGGTACATACTTAACATATTATTAACATAAAGTTTAAAACTTTTCATGTATTTCTTATGTACAAGATTGAGATGACTAGGTGTAGGGATTCATTGGTCTCTCAGTATGATCCGTTGCACCCAGGAATAGATGGCAGCAGGAATGAGAAAGAGATAGACAAGAAGACAAGTGATCCGTCAGGTGGTGGCCTGTCTGCTTGGTTGGTGGAGAGGACATTGCCAACCCCCAACAATAGTAAATGCCTTTATTTATACTTTTCAAAGTTACAAGAAACAAGGTTGCCTAGAGACTAATGTTTTTCTCAAGACTGAAGCAGCTTGACTGCTTTATGCAATGACACCTCATCCTGCCCTCCTACACAGGATCAATTTCAGGTTCAGTGACTCCCAACAAATAAGAATTTTAACTATTTCAGTGAATTTCTCATCCCATCTAGAACACTGCTCCTTAAAAACACCGACAGGTCAACATGTAGACTTTAAGTGAACTGCAGCAATGGCAGTATTTTTAAAATACATTTTATTCATTTGTGTTGAAAGTCCCATCTAACTGCAGCTCCACTAGCTCAGAAATTCTGTCTTCAACTGCCTTATCCAGTTCTTCAGCAAAATCACAACAAATATTTCTGTTAGACGAGTCACAAATATTTTAACTACACAGTTGAGAGAAAGGCTAGCACGGTGGCTACCAATATGTCTGAATGTGGAGGACTAGGTGTCTCTTTCTGGGCCATCTCGATGAAGTCACATGGTCTTTTTCATCTCTAATGTGGAGATACTAATAGCTTCCAAGACAGAGTGCTGCTGTGAGAATTAAGAATCAATTCGAAAAGTGCTGAGAACCAGCCCTAGAAACTACTCATTAGATGCTAGCCATTAACACTATATTACATTATTGTTATGCACAAATTTCTAATTTAAGTTAGGTATTTATATATGATCTCTAAATTATAAAACAGATTTGCTTTTCTTTAAAAATTATTTTGTCCTTTTGCATGATCACAATATTCCTATCAACTTATAATCAGCCACTTTCTTTGGCCTCTCAGTTTAGTAAGTTATTCTTTGATCTAAGCATGACATCATACTGTGCTTTACAATTATATTTTCTAGTGAGTAATCACATCAATTTTCAAATCAGAGGGAAGAGCCAAATAGACCTGTACACATGTATTTTTGGAATCAGAAATTTTGATTAATGCTATGTGTGACCTTCATTTTCACTGTCAACTTAACTTAACTGGGTTCAAAGATGAGCAAAACATACTTCCGGAGTCTAGGGCTGAGTGGGTCACAGAGTGGGTTCCTGGGATGATACCTGGACCCAGGCCCTTCCTCTCTGGAGCTCTCCCACTTTTTTCCAGATGCCATGGGTTGAGTTATGTTCCTCCCACCCAACTTTTATGTCATGATATTTCTGTCTTAGAATCAGCACAACATGGGCATTGAACCCTCTGCAGCAGAGAACTAATGTAAGTATGTTTTCCTTTATATTGCAGTATCAGTTATTTAATCTCAGAAATGGTAAGATGAAGTTTACATTTCATTTCAAATAATAAATCATGATGTATAAGCTATTTTAATTCAGAATTGTTACTGGGAGTGCCAAACTTATCAAATGAGAGCCTATAAATACATGACATTTTTCATTTGCTTTATTTTCAAATCCGCATACTCCTGGGTCTGAAAACAACCATGTGTCACACAAGAGAGATCTCCTAATAACTAAGTAGCAATATTATTCAACTGTCTTATTCCAAGTGGTCACTAGTAAAAGGACTTAAATAATCTGGTGCTAATGTTTTGTTCTGTAATTCTCATTGTGTAAGTGAGTTAGCCACATGCTGTTATACATTGTGCAAAAGTAAGCATGCATACTTGCTTGACCAAATTAATGCTGGTTTGTTAAAATTTAAAGTAATAGGATTATGTTTTATATATTTAAGCTATCAGTACTTATTTTTGTCCATCATATGCAATTTTATATTACTGGAGGTTTTAGCAATTATAGTCAATACATATTTCTTTCCTGTCAAGTTTGAGAATGACACAGGAGATCAGGAATGCATTGTTCTAATTTGCAGCTAAGAAAAATCATATTTCATTTCTATACACTGCAAGGAAAACATATTCATTAAGATACGATTTGAAAATGAAAAAAATTGAGAAGACAACTATCTGCAAGTGATTTTTAAAAGTACCGTACAATATATTCAAGGAGACTGGGATCTTCTGATTAGATAGACTTTTAATATATATTTTGGATGCTGTGAGGAAGAATAGATGGAAAAAGATCATTCTTGAGTATTTCTAATTTATTTTTGATTATCACTAACCCCCCAGGTTTTGAGAAATAAAAAACTATATGACCACAAACACAAAGAAATTAATCACTTTTTTTTCAGCTGGAGAGGTTCAACTTAGCACCCCACATTAAAAGTTTTCAAGAGCTGCGTGTTCATTTACTCCAGAGTCTCCACCTATAGATTTGGGGAGGTCATGAAAACAAGCACACATCAGGCTTTGCATCCAGCATTATGTTAATCATTCAGTGGGGTTCAAGACTTGATGTGTCCATGTAGTATGATTGAAGATTATATTTAATGCAGGTAATTTTTGTCAACGCTAACAAAAATGGGAATTGTACATACGTGTTTTCTTGGTGGTTGCGTTGACTGTGGCACTGAAGGGACCGGCACCGGCACTGTTGTAAGCCCGGACAGCGGTGTAGTAGGCCAGGTTGCTCTTCAGGCCCCTGAGTCGGGCTGATGTCTCATTGCCTGCCACCTTCACTTTGCTTGATGATTCCTCCTCTCCTCCATTGTTCCAGTACCGAACCTAATGGCACAGAAGTCACAAAACATGCAGAGGCTGGACAAAAGCACTTGGTGTTTCGCTGGGTGATTTTCAGGAAAATGAACAATGCAATTTATATTTTGTTTATTCAATACTTATCACCAGAAGACTAGCTTCAGGTGCTGCATTAGGCTCTATGTCACAGTAGTGCCACCTATAACGGAGACTCTGGGAGGAAACAGATCATAGAAACATAAAGAAATGAAGTAGACCAATTCAAAGGAGCACTGATTAAGACTAAACTACCAGGTGATAAATGGGAGAATGAAGGGGCAATCTACATTCCCAAGAGTGAGCTGCTCCTTTTACTTGGCCCAGAGCAACCCAGTCCACATTCAGTGCAGACCCTGGCAGCTTTGGCCATTCTCCACTGGACACTGGAAGTGCCTTCTGTGAAGAAAGTGAACTGTTAGATCCAGATCTTAGAAAGCCACTGGGTCACTGTATTATCCTGCAATGACGGCCAAATGACAACATGTCGGCCTCTGCAGACAGTGATGGTAGAGAAAAGAGAAAGAAGTTAAAAGAGTTGATTTTAAGTATAAATGGATAATATAATATTTTCATATGTGTAATTATTTGGAGCATGCAAAATGATCTTAAACTTTTGAAAATGTATATACATATGGTATGGTAGTATAGAAGTGTTAGTAAAAATAGCCTCTAAAAAGAGGAATGAGGCAGAAAAAGTATGTAAAATACATGTTTCCTGATTACTCCCGATCCATGCTTTAAAATTTTTTAATAATGCTATGCTTTATGATAAAGTTTGGATTGTCTGTGAATCAAAGAAAAAAGAAACAAAATCAATGACGCAGCACACAAATGAATTATGAAAAATACAATTACTCTTTTTCTTTCTTTCTTTTGAACAGGCTCTCAGTCTCTTTGTCTTGTTCATATGGTCTTGAATGTTGAGGTTCAAGCCATCCACCTTTCCCTCCAGAGTACCTGGGACTAAATGAGCTACTCCACCCAGCTCACAAGTACAGCTATTCCATAATAGGAATAGGTCCAGATATTAACATTTGAGGATCTAACTTGGGAACCATACAGTTACCATAAATATATAAAGCATATTAAAAGTACAGGCATTTTTTCCATTTGTAAAGAAGTATGTTCTGTTCTATCTTTCTTACGAAAAAGGCTTTTTGCCTTTCACTTTTGTACTTATGATATTAAAATACAGAAATAGAAAATAACTTTTATGAATTCTATAAGTAGATGGCAAGTTGAGCACAATGAAATTATCAAATATTTCTGAGTGCTCAGAGTCTTGGAGCCAATAAAATTTTGAATCTGCACAAAATGAAACCAAAAAAAACCATAAAATAATAAACAATGAACAAAAAGAAAGTTAAGGCCTGGAGATATAGCTCAGTGGCTGAGCACTGTCCTTGCACTGGTGAGGTCAAGGGTTCATCCCAAACCAGTTCTCTTTGACTGGGGGAAGGCAGAGTTCATATTTACTTATCTGATTTTTCATATAAGGAAAGTAGAGCTCTACCGTTCAGATGATAGGCCCCTTACTTAGGATCTGCTCAATTTTAGGCTTAGTTATAAATTCATTGTGGATAAACAAAATATGGTTATGGATTATGTAACAGATAACAAATTTCAGTTTCTGAGTAAGAGACAGTAGAAGCTACTATTCCTTTGGTGAGCAACTATTAAATTCTATCTGAAAGATATCATTACAATGTAAATCACTTTTTTAAACAACGAAAGCAAAGCAACAAGCTAAGTATGGATATATATATACATATATATATATATATATATATATATATATATACTTATATATATAATATTAAAATACAAAAACAGAAAATAACTTTTACAAATTGTATAAGTAGATGGCAATTTGGGAGCAATGAAATTATCAAATATATTTGAGTGCTCAGAGTCTTGGGAGCCAATAAAGATTTAAAGATTTGAATCTGCACAAAATGAAAGAAAACAAATTAAACAAAACAATAAGAAAACAATAAAAATGAAGGCCTGGAGATATAGCTCAGTGGCTGAGCACTTGCCTAGCACTGGTGAGGCTGAGTATATATATATATATATATATATATATATATATATATATATATCTTCAAGTGTGTTTGTAGAATTATAAGTCTCTCCAAATTCATTCAAAATGCCATTTTATACATGTATTTCTGGGTATTTCTCTTGGACAAGAGTTGCTTGGTTCTTAAGAATTTGAATGAGAGGATGAGGTTCCACAGAGCTGGGACCAGGGAGCACACCTTTTCTCTAACAAAGCCATAGCCAGTCAGACCACTAATGGATGCCAACGTCTTACACACATTTCAATTTACCAGTATTAAACTCTGGGTGGATTCATAGGCTTACTTTTTTTCCTAAGCAGGTACTTTAGTCCACTGAGCTATCTGGCCAGCCCAGTAAGGATTTAGGTTTAAAGAGATCCAAAGTGATAAGATATTTTCCCTGTGCACATAGGATCATTCAGTTATTAATTAAAATTTACATGTAATTGATAATTATAATAAAATATTATAGGCATCCTGATCACTTGAGGCCTTGGACATAACACAGATTGGGGAAATCACATAAATATGAGATATAATAATCTTTACTTAATAGAAAAGGCAGTAGAGGGATAGAGGAGTTAGATCATTCAATCAAGCTCATTCTGTCTAAGCCTTGGTCTCTTGCTGATTCTAATTCATGGGCCATTCTTTTTCTGATTCATCAAATTACATCAATATCAGTTACTTAAAAATGTTTAAGAGACTAATTTAAAGAAAAAAATAGAACTACTCTATAACTGGCATGTAGTATCTCTTTTTATAAATCCATTTATAGAAAGTACTTGAAAGTTCTTGAGAGCAGTATGTTTTAAAGTACTTTAACCAATCTCCATGTATCGAAATAGAAATTTATTTTTAGTTCTTATTTGCCGAGAGGTAGTAGAAATATTTAGACATAGAGAAAAACTGTACCAAATTTGAGTATGATATTGTTAGTGAAAATTCATTATATCATCTCAAATAATTTCTCTTACAGAGTTCAGTATATCACTAAAGCATAAAGAACAAAAGAGCACCACTAATATTTTCAATGTTTCGTAAGTTTTTCACATGTTCCACAACATTTTACATAAAAATATTTATATAAGCATAGATCATTTTTAATAAAGTTAAAAAGACAAGAAAGAGATTATAATGATAACTGCCCTACATTTCCACTCAGTTGTATTCTGATCTTGAACAGTAAAAGCACTCCAGCTGAGTGAATAGAATAACTCTATGCTAATTTGGATTTTATAGGCACAGTGACAGTGTAGGGATGGAGAAGAAAAGGTGCCAGTGCTGGAGGAATGAGCTTTAGAAACATAACTGCTTAGAACGGAGTTAATATCAAGTTAACAGAACATGAAGCTATCTTTTACAAAGATGAGCAGAGAGAAAAAATTATAAAGTATATGAGAAACCATGCTAACAAGAAAGTCAGCAGTCCCAACCAGTGGGAGACCAGCTAGCATACATGACATGAAACAGATTTTTAAATTATCATGTTTAAAAATCCATATTTATTAAAAAGGAATGGAATCCATTATGTAAGAATGGGAGAGAAAAAGGATAAGCCAGATTTTCAAAATAACAAACAGAACTCATAGACATGAAAAGTACAATTATTAAAAAATATAGAATAAAATCAGCAAGAAAAATGAAGCTGAAGACTAATGCAAGGACAAATTAATTAGGCCAGAGCACATCCTGGAGAGAGAAATGAAAATTCCAGCAAGGAGACATCGAGGGTAGGTTGCAAAGCCCCTAACATTATCCCTGAGACAACATTCACAGGGAAAATAGATGAGAACTTTGCAGCACTGAAGAAAAGCATTCAGCTCATAGTGTAAGTCCACCTTGAGTTTAGTGTGGGATAAACAAAAGGCACTTCCTCTCCAGGAAAGAGGGGAGTAAGGCCAAACTGTGGATTTCCAACTTTGTTAACCACTGCACATCATTTGACATTGGAACCAGTGTCACACGAACATTGCGAGGCACCGCATCCTGGTCTGCCAGCACGAATCTGATTTAGGGAGGCAGTGAACTGCAATTCTTGGCACAGAAGACAGCAGGTGGAAGGAGAATAAGGAGAAGCCACATGTGGGGGCAGAGGCCTGTCCTGGCTCTACTACTACAGCACAACCTGCTCAGTGTACAGAGAGCATCTACCACTTAGCCACAGTTTAATCCACTGCAGTTTCACTGACCCTGGTTCAACTTTGGTTATGAATATGAAGAAGAGCTGCTATAGTGTAACAAAGTATTTTGAAGGCGAGAGAGGGGGTGGGCAAGGGAGGTAGGGCAAGCTAGAGAGAAGACATTCACATAACTTTTATTACGGTATAATTTCCTTCATTGTTCTGGTTTATTATTAGTTATTGTTGTTAATCTCTTACTGTGCCTAATTTGCAAATTAAACTTTACTCTCCATGGTGTCTAGCATCTACTGGAGGTCTTAGAATATATCTTCTACAGATGAGGGAGTCAACTGAACTACTCACTTAATGTGGATCAACCATCAAATGCCTTGAACAAACAGTTTAAAGATGCTTCATTTCGCCCACCACAGAGAATCAGCTAGCTAGGCGTTTGGGTCCTAATAATTTACATATCTAACAGTGGTATTTCAATTTCCTTACAAGATAAGGTAATGTTTCTCTTCAGGTCCGTAAAACCATTTGGCAAGTGGCAAGTAGACATATTTTTTATCTTGGTAAGTAAGCAGATACAAATTTGAACATTATCAGGATTTAAAATGTAACCTCTATTTCTGTAACTTGGCTATTGCAAAAAATAATGTTCCTGCTGTGAGAGGTAGTTAATATTACTGAATCAGAGATTTCACGTAATTTAAAAATAAAATGAAACAGTTTATGGAAATAATGTATTGGCTAATAGCATGTTTTCTTGGCTGTTATAAAACAGGTATAAAGTGAGAAA